GGGGGGGGGGGGGGGTAAGGGATGGTCCTAGAAAGGGTGATGACCTAAGTGCCACAGAAATAAATGCACATGGGGTTGTAGGGCCGCATGCCCTTTTCCATGGCCCTCCCAAGATTGCCGTTGTCCCTCAACTGGGAGGAGTTGGTTAGTTTTGGTAGGCTGAGACAGCGTCCCTTCCCCGCTGACCGCTGTCTCTGTGAACCAAATCTCACTCGCCCAACTTGTTCCCAAATGGGTCACGTTCCCTTGCTAAGGCCACTTTCAAATCCCCTTTTCCCCCCCACATGCCCTTCCTGTGGATCTCCTTTCTCTTCCTACTTCCATCACTCTATTATTATTATCATTATTATTATTATTATTATTAAAGCTATTTTTTAAATATATGTTACTTATACGAATCTAAAGGGATTTCTCTTTGTAATAATTTTATTGCCTAATTTTAACCTATTTAAAGTTAAATTTGATTTATTAAAGTGCATTATTTAAGGAAAAGACTTACCATAAGAGTTTTTTTTACTATCAACCTCAAACTTGTTTCATTTCACTTAAAACGGTAAAAACCAACCGACAGTTCGAAAAAGTTGGTCTCTCTTTATCACATATGTTGTCTTCATGTCTCCCCCACATTCTTATTGCTATATATACATATATGTTATGATGATTTCTTCACCTCCTCATGCACAAAAACACGCACTTTATGGAAGATTTTGTTTCACGCCACCGATCTATTCATGTTCTTCCCACCTTCATTTTCATCCTTTACAAAATCAACTTTATGTAACTTTCCATACCCAAGATTCGAAACAATATTCAGAATCTAAATTCGGCACGTAATGATCCCGACATTCTCCTTCATCTCTTGCAACATGATTACGTTACCTTCTTCTCGCATCCTAAGAAAATTCTTAAAAGGTTACCCAACATAAAATTGCTTCAAGTAAAACACGTTTGTTCCTATGATGAGCCACAAAAAAGGAAGGTTCACCTTGTTGGTATAGGTAGTAACTTTCACCTCCTATCCTTAGGGTCGCTCTTTTTTTTATACGTAGACTCAATTCATTCATGTATCCTTTTTTTACTTTGGTGTCATAAATTATTTTTTGCTCGTTCATACGTTAGTTTTAGTTCTAATATACGAAGAGACGTGTATCCATAAAATAATATGACTGAAAAATGTTTTAAAGTACATCGAACGTATAGATTGACTACAACCTATCAACTTAAAAGGAGCATTTATAGACAAATTTTATTTAACGTCACATAAAAAAATCATTATAATATTACTTCCTCTAATATTAACTTAAACAATTCATTAATCATGGTCCTTTACTGCATGGCAAATGATTTGAAAACAGACTCTCATTCATTAGATATAAGTGATCACCGAGATTTTATGATTGGCGTCGTGCTTATTCCTTCTAATTCAACGGGCATTCACAGTATTATACCAACTGATAATTAAATTAAAGAAGGGAGCGAGCAAAAATAGAACAAAATAAATAAATTTTTTTAAGAACATAAAAGGAGAAGAAAGGAAAAAAATGACGTGGCAGGGGAAAACCTAGGAAAAAAGGGTTAGTGTTGATGTTGGTGGGGATTTAAAATTTATGTCACAACAAAAGTCGGTGTCCGACAATATATATATATTGATTTGTCTTTGAAATATGGGCGCTAATATCGCCCCTTCCATGTGCCTCCCTAACATGGTAGACCCCTTTATTCATATACCCCTTTCAATTCATTTTATTATTATTATTATTATTATTTTTATTAGAAAGCTCTTAAAATAAATTCCATAAATCAACTTCAAGTATTAAAATTAATGAAATCATAAATTTATTTTTTTATAATCAAATGCATAAATGTATAAATTTATACTTTCGAGATCTAAAACGTGACAAATTTATGAAAATCATAAACTCAATTAATTAATTTTTTTAATACATTTTTAAAAAAAAGTCAAAATAAAAAAATGTAAATATTTACGAGTTTACTCACGGGAAATAGCATCAAACTCATTGATCCTAGCAGGTCATCATTCCCACGGTACCCAACTAATATTTTTTAGTTTAACATCGAGGCGTGGGATTCGAACCTTAGAGTTTTTGGTCGATGATATATGCGTAAGCGATCTTAATAGAGTTATCAACCTAATCAAACCCTCTATTTTGGAGTTGGTTGAGACGGGAGTTAGTTTGAATTAATTGAATTATAGAATCATATAAATATTCGTAATTAATTAAAATGAGATAATTGAAAAAAAGTATAGGGCACCTAAATCAAGGGGCTTTTGTTGTATAATTCTAATAAATAATAATAATAATAAGCGCAATTTTAGGTATCCTAACGGCACAGATTCCAAACTGCCATTTCCCAACGAACAAATATGAGCCACGTGGAAATTACGTATTCCCCATCCAAGAAAAACAAAAAGCATGTGCATGTGGGGCCCACCTGTTTAAAGAGTTGGTACTCCATTTCAGACACCTCCCATGTGCCTTCTCTCTTCCTCCTTCCCTACTCTTTTAATTATATTAAATTATCTTTATTATTATTCCTAAATTATAAGATTTTGTGTTTATTTAAAAAATTATAATTAATTAATGTTGTCGTTATTACGATTATACCCCTAATTTGAATTTCTTTATTTTTTTTTCGATTTTGTCCCAATCTACACCACAATTATAGCCAACTTGTAATTTTCTCCAACTGCAAACCTTTTTCCCTCTATTTAAATAAACCCTTCGTCTATTTCCCACTCCACACTACAACTTCATACAAACCTCATTCCTTTTCCCTCTCCTCCAATGGCTTCCTCACCAATCTCTGCCTTTTCTGTTATTTTCCTACTTTTTATCCCTGCAATCTCCGCCGATTACGGCGGAGTGCAGTCCGGCCACGCTACCTTCTATGGCGGTGGAGACGCTTCCGGCACAATGGGTAAATAACTAATAATCGAGCATCTTCATTTTTTGTGTTTTGTGGGTTTTTGTGGTAATCGGGAATTGGGTATTTGTTTTTGTCAGGTGGGGCTTGTGGGTATGGGAATTTGTACAGTCAAGGATATGGGACGAACACGGCGGCGCTGAGTACGGCTCTGTTTAACAATGGGCTGAGCTGTGGGTCTTGCTATGAAATCACTTGCAGCAGTGATCCCAAATGGTGTCTTCCTGGAAAAATCATTGTCACTGCCACTAATTTCTGTCCCCCAAACTTGGCTCTCTCCAACAGCAATGGCGGCTGGTGTAACCCTCCTCTGCAACACTTCGACTTGGCAGAGCCTGCTTTTCTCCAAATCGCTCAGTACCATGCCGGGATTGTCCCTGTCTCCTTCCGAAGGTCTTACACCATTCTAACTAAAAACCAAATGATTCCATAAATAAAACATGCTCTGTTTTTTTTTCTTATGCTCTGTTTTTTTTTTCTCATGCTCTGTTTTTTTTTCTCATGCTCTGTTTTTTTCTTTAAAGTCAGATTTTAATGAGTGGTTTGATGAATTACAGAGTAGCATGCGTGAAGAAGGGAGGGATAAGGTTGACGATAAACGGCCATTCATACTTCAACTTGGTACTGATCACCAACGTGGGCGGCGCCGGCGACGTCCACTCGGTGTCAATCAAAGGGTCCAAAACTGGATGGCAAGCCATGTCCAGAAATTGGGGACAGAACTGGCAGAGCAACAATTACTTGAACGGACAGAGTCTCTCTTTCCAAATCACCACCAGCGACGGCCGCACCGTCACCAGCTACAACGCCGTTCCGGCCAACTGGCAGTTCGGCCAGACATTCGAGGCGGGCCAGTTCTGAAATAAACTTCACCTATAAATTGTGCTCGAGAGAGGGTAAGACAGGGTAGAGTAGGAAGATCTCCGGCACCGTCGCGACGGTGGCCGGCTATTGCAGTGGTGGTTGACTCGCACCCGCTAGCTCTTTGGGATATCAAAATACATATATAAATATATATAGAAAAATACTGTGTGTAGTAAGAAAAAAATAGTTAAGCAGTAAGTAGAAACGTGGCATATTCCCATTGGCTATTTTTAGCAGTGAATTGTTGACTTAGTCCTCCCAATTTATTAATATGAGGATATTGCATTACTGTTCTTTTTCCCCCTTGGGAATCATGTTTAAATTCAATTCTTCTTTTACTTTTCCTATCATTAAAGATAATTAATGAAAGTTTAACGTAATAAATGAGTTATAATCCATCTATTAATCAAGCTTAAGGACATAGTTACAACTTTTCATAAATATTTTAAAATTAACGACTAATTAAGGTATGTATGTTATTGATTGCACTTTAAAGTCTAGTTTTAATTCCCTCTACTTTTTATAAGTTGAATTAATGTCGATACTCATAGTTGCATGTTACGTACATCGTGGAGCTTATTTACTATGCCCAAAGTAACGATAATAAAGGCAAATTTTGGGAGATAGATGAACCGAAATGAAAGCAAGGAATACTAAGTTATGATTTGAAATAAAAAAGAGGAAAATGAGTAAAGTTGGAAAGTTTGGTAGTTTGCATTTGGAAGTAGAAGTTGGGATGCAAAGAATAGACGATGAAAGAGTAAAAAGAAAGGTCGATATGAACACAACACTTAATGGACGAGACATGGATTATGATTCTTAGTCTTGTAATTGAAAAATAGAGATATCCACGTGGAGTGCGGGGACGAGGAAACCTTCATCATCTCCATCCTCAAGGAATGAAATTTAGAAAGTCTCTCTCCATTCCTTTCCTCATTCTTCGTTTATTCCTTTCCTCATTCTTCGTTTATATGGGGAATCCCGACCCCATTTTTAACATTGCTAGGTAGAACGAAAAAAAAAAAAGGAGAGAGAGAGAGAGAGAGAGATAGATGGACAACAAATATGAACTAAATGATTTAGGGTCGAGTATTCAACAATGGGCCCTTTTGTGGGTTGGTCCATATTGGACCAAAAGGAATTGAACCTCAGGATTAGACCCAGACCAACCAGATTCAGAAGCTTGCCCCATTTACAAGTATTCATAAATATACAGAAATAAACATGTTCATAGGTATCCAATAACCTTCAAGAATCCAGTTAACCAGGCATTCATTTGTGATGAAACAGTAATACAATTTTCCCGTGGTTTAGTACAACTGCAGAAAACTATAGGTAGCATTTTTTTATTGATGTTTATCCTTGGACAAACTACCAGGGAGTCTGCTGAAAACACTCTCGTCCATCACTCTATAATGCTTTCTAAATTGTTGCCGGATCATTCCGCAGCATCTGTCAACATGTTTATCGTATTTGCTGTACAAGGCGGGGATGGTTATCGAGATGATTGTTCCTGTCATCGAGTTAAATGAACAAAAATCAATATCACAGGTCAGGGAGGGGGGGCGGGGGGTATAATTACATTTGCTAGATCAGTAAACTGAGTAAAAAGCATGAAAATGAAGGTCATGACAATGAGAGAGCATTAAAGAACATGGTGAATGGACCAGAAACAAACCAAACTCTGTGAACGTTTACTCATTGACAAGGATCAAAATGAAACTACAGGTGGAATGATTGCCATAATTTACCCACAGATGAAACTTATATGGACTAAATATATGTCATACTAAGCGTTTTAGGATGTTCGTACGTACCGATATATGCAAAGGTGAAGAAAGAAAGGTAGCTACCAAGGACGGATAAAAGCCACAAACAGATCACCATCTGCAAAGGTGTTTGCAAGGTTAGCCAAAAACGAAGAACAGAAAAGCAACATTATCGGGTTGAAGTGAAGATCGAGTTTATGTATTCTTTAAACTGTCCTGTAAGCATTAGCTGCCTCAGGCTTGAGCAACTCTTGGTTGCCAATCCAAATGGCGTCGATCGTTGGGTGTATATCGATATCGATCTATTCTTTTCAGATGAAAAGTACTTAAAGCCGATGAATAATTTTCAGTTTTGCCCATATAATTCAAGTATCCAATAAACTACTAACCCTGAAAAAGAGTTTGAAATCATTGCCAAGTGTGATATCATGAGCTACAAGTAATGCATTATTGATTTTCGCTCGAAATGATGCTGCGACATTATCGACAAATTCCTCGGACAGTACCAGCTGTGGTAATGTTTGAAGCTGCCTGCACAGAAGGAAAATGAAGAAGATCCAACAGGAAAAACACATTATCTGCTGGAAAGAAGAAAAAGGTATTCTGTAAGAGATAGTAAGCAAGAACTTGAAAGTGAATCAGAACATAAGTCCGCCAAAGCCATACTTCTTTCGAAACGCAGCAAAGTTGGCACGAAGAAACAATAGGACGACCAAAACCAGCAAGACATCCGAACATGTTGTCAACAATGGCAATCCAGAGTGCTCAATTAGAAGCCAAAATACTGTAGCAACAACAACAATGCCGAAAGAAACATGCCGCTGTTTCCATAGTAGAATATCAGCCGCTAAGCAAAAGAAGGAAGAGTTAAATTCTTGATTATCCAAACAGAAAGGGAATGTCGTAATTTTTTGTTCCTTCTAAAACACAAAGAAAGAATCCGAAAAACTGGAAAATAGCTAATGTAGAATCTGATTCCCAAAGCAAGAGGTAACAAAAACTCCAAGTTTCAATCGGTCGAAGTCTTAATTCAAATGCGAAAAGGGAAACAGATAAATGAATAGAACATGGACGAATCTGGCAAACCAATTCAGAACATACTTGAAATCAAGCTTCATATTATCCTATGTTTCGTAAACAATCAAAACCCTCAAGCATCACCGATTGCAACAAACAGATTCAACACCGATTCTCGAAAGGGAAGCGAAGGAATCTAATTCAGAAACGCGAAATTGATCGAGCAACAGAAATTTTGCGGACGGAGAATTAAATACCTTTGCCGCCACCCATGGACTGGTGGAGTGAAGGTGGGCGGTCACATGAGGTGCAGGCTATGTCTTTTCCGTCGGCGTCTACGTTGCCGGCGCTGTCGCAATTATCGACCATTGCACTTCCGAATTGTCCGGTCAGAAGGTTCAGAGTCAAAATTGAAGGTTGAAAAGTTGTGAAGGTTTTCGGTATGATCGGGAATTCCCAAGGCAAGGCTCGAAAATGGAATTCACGCAACTCAAGAATTTTTAATTTCCATGTTCAAAGCCTTCCCTCTTTCTTCTGCCCTCCGACGCTGAAAATGAAAAAGTCGCTTTTTTTTTTTTTTTTTTTTTTTTTTTTTTTTTTTTTTTTTTTTTTTTTTTTTTTTCTCTCCTTTTGGTAGAGGGGGTTTGGGTCTTCTTCTATTATTTTAATGCAAACCTTACAGCTGTTTTATGCTTATTTTATTTTATTCTTATTATTAGTTTCAAGATATATATATATATATGGAACTCCAAATTTATGGAAATGTAACATAATTTTTAAAAAAATTTGAGGGACGACTATTTCTTATAGTTGGTGCGCATCTTTAAGAGAGGGGTCGTGTACGGTCTCGGTAATGGAAGGATGAGCTTCCCCATTCGAATGGTATCTGCTCGAGGACCCTATCCATGCCTGCTTATCCAAACCAAACAGTAACCTTCGGTCCTTCGGCCCGAGGGTCAAGGTGGAAATCAAGGGTATAGGTTCAAGCTGCTCTAGCACGTAACGAATGTGACTCTACCAATGACATTGACCTGGACTTGTTCTAAAAAAATCGAGGCATTAAGCAAGTGTCAGCCCCCATACATGGTCTTACGACTTTGTGGAAACTTGTGTTTTTTTGGTAAAAAGTCGCCCAGGCTTAGTCACTACGACCTCTATGTGAAGATGCTAGCTATATTCTTGTGGACGCAAATGTATTAATATTAAAGAATAGACTATTTTATAAAAAGATGGATGAAAATATCAGAAAAAGTGTCGTTTGTATAAATATTTTAGGAAAATTACAATTATTAAAAAGTTCATAAAAACGTCTAAAATAACTTTTATTAAATAAGTTAAATTTATTATTATTAATTATTAATTATTAATTTGTTTTACAGCCCATTGGCCCATCGGTTCATCACTTTGGCCCATTTCCTTTTATTTTTTACAGCCCATTGGCCCATTTACTTCGGCCCATTTTCATGAGATGTATTTTTTAGGAATGGGCCAATGGGCTGTAAAAGAGTAAAAGTCAATGGGCCAGTGATGAACCCATATTTCGGGGAAAAAATGTAAAAGAGAAGAACATTGGGGGTTATTTGCAAATATAAGAAATTAGGGATTTCATTTGCTAGGTCACCTTCTGCGTCCTCTTCATATAAAAGGATCACTACCACCAATTCATAAACCCTATTTCAGCCGACGAGCTCTCTGATTCTCTCTGGTTCGCTCGGTCATCTGTGACACTAGAGCTATGGTAACCTGATCTCTCACCACTCTGCTTCGATCCTTCGTTTTCGGTTAATAATTTTCTTGACAATCTCTCTTTTGGTTCAGACTTTCAAGCGTAGGAATGGTGGACGCAACAAGCACGGACGCGGACACGTGAAATTTATCCGCTGCTCCAACTGCGGAAAATGCTGCCCCAAGGTACCTAGGGTTTTCTTTTTCCTCTTTCGCTGTTCAATCTATTCGTATATCTTTGGCGTCGACGTTGCTCTCTTTTTTTATCTATATCTGCTAAACAATATATAGCCATCTGAAATTCTTTCGCGACGCATTTACAATTTAGTAACTACGGATTTCGTCACATCATTGAACTAAAAAGCGAGCAATTCACCGCCGATTTTTTACTCTTCCTGTGTCGTTGTTGGTATTCTTGGTCTATTTTGTGTTCCAAAGGCTGAGACTCATCAAATGCAATTATCTTTGGGATTTTTGTTCACTGTTTGGTACAGAGTATCTAATTATGTGATCTCTTATTGGCTTGAATAGGACAAGGCCATCAAAAGGTTCCTTGTTAGGAACATTGTGGAGCAGGCAGCTGTTAGAGATGTTCAGGAAGCCTGTGTCTATGATCGTATGAGCCTTTTTCTTGAACGCGTTCTTTATTTGTCTTCCATTTTAACAATTCGAGTGTAATTTCGATATTTGTTTTGTTTCAGAATACACTCTTCCTAAGCTATATGCCAAGATGCAGTACTGTGTTTCTTGTGCAATCCACTCTCACGTTGTGAGGGTTCGATCACGCAC